CAACTACTTTCAATTTACACAAGCTTTTCTCTTCTACCCCAGATTTTCTTTCTCTACTTCCAGCTTTGCTTGTCTTTACATAGCAAACTCCTACTCATTTATTCACACTCAGTCTTAACTTTAAGGGTAGAGCTGTCTTCGGTGCCCTATCCCTATCCAATCTGACAGTTTAACTGTGCTTTTTCTCTGTTTCAAGGCACAAGGAGAATTCTCTAGAAATTGCAGTGAGATTATGTACATGTCTGCCTCTCTAGAAGCCTAGGAACCCATTGAAGGTAGAGAAATTATTTATTCCCTTTTGGCTCCCTAGTATTTAGCCCGATGCCTGGTATAGAGTAGGGGTCTGATCAATGACTATTGAATGCTGTTTAAGTATGCATAGTGACCGATACCAAGTGTTTTTATTAAATAGCAGTTAGTGGTTATGAGAGCATCCCAGTAGCCTCTGTATCATTCTTCCTGCATTTAATACATGAAATATAAAGTATTGTATAAAGATATCTGGGGAATCTGGAAGGCCTCTCCAGGGCGGGGAATGATAAGGAGGTGCCTACTCAGGGTTTTTCTCTCCCTCTCTCAGGGCTTGGCTCATTTAAAACTCATTTCTAATTTTCTGCTTTCCTCTTACAATAAAGGGTCAGGTAAGGCCTCGCTTGTCTAAGTGGCTGTGGGTCACGTGAAGCACTGAACACCCCGCGGCTGATGCACTGCCTGCGTAGAATCAAGATTTTTGTAGGGCTGCTGCAGCCCAGCTTGGGGCAGTGTTTCCTTCAGGGAATTTATAATCCAGATGAGACTGGTAAAAGATTGCAAACAACAGAAAACAATAAAACCTCTATCTCATTGCTTTGAGCAATCTCTCTTTCTTAAGGAACTGTCCTGAGTTAGATATCAGCTCGTCTTTGAAGGCTCTCTTGCCCCACACCCTCCCTCCCAGCCCACTCCCATTTCCCAAGACTGTGAACTACTTTTTTTCTGAACTACTCTTTTCTACACTCGACCTTGTACAAAATAATAATCATTTTTGAGGCCCTGTATTTTATGACAGCTTGTATATGATCTCTTTTGCCAGGTAGCTATGATTATTGTTCCCATTTAATAGGCAAAGAAATAGAGACTAAGAGAAACTACATCACTTGATGCAGGCACGCAAGAAGCTACGAAACATCAGAAGGAACTCAAGTCTGCCTTCCCTATCTGGGCTGAGAGCCTTTCCTCCTGTCCTGTCCCAGAATCTCCCTCTGCTGCTATTGCCATCACAACTATTTTGGGGGGTAATGGGAGGGGTGCTCCTCCATTGTTTGACGCTCCGGGGCTTGTGCTTCTTTCCTTCCCAAGGCTTCTAATCCCCAACTTCATTCTGGCAGCTACCCATCCCTGTTCCCTCCTCAGTCCTATCTTCCAGATAGAAACAAGCACTTTAGAAAAGCACCTTGGAATCCCAAACAGGTGAGAGATGAGGAACTGCCCAAGATCTGTAAGAGATGATGAATTCGAACCCAAACCTCCAGATTTGGAACGAAGTCCGAATATGAGTCTTTCTACTCTTTTTCTCCATCATCTGGTTGACTCCACTCAAGTGACTCAGATTCCTGGTTTGGGACTTTGATCCCAGGTTAAAGCCTGGTGACTATTGGCCTCATTTTCTTCCTCTGTCCAATATGGATAATCTCAGCTTTGCCTATCTCCTTAGATACATGATACAGACTGTTTTTTTTTTTTTTCAGTACTCTTCTGGCTTGTTGCCCCACCCAGATGATGGTGGGCTTTGAAGCCTAAAGGGCTGAGAAGTGTTAACTGTTATCAAATATTCACCCAATGGTCCCCTCAAAACCCAGCAAATTCCAATTCCCTTGGAAACTTGATAGAAGAGGTGCTTCTGCCCTCTCAGGAAAGCTAGGAAAAATGGCCTCTTCTTCAGGACATTATTTCTTTTTTCACAGTGTATTGTAATTACCTACCCTATTTGCTTCCCATTAGACTGTGAGTTCTTAAAGTACAGAGACTTTACCTTATTTATCCAACTCACTGCTACCAGCCTGGTCCAAGCCATCATCCTGCACCTGGATGCTGGAGTCTTTGGCTTCCACCATTGTCTGCTCACTGTCTACTCTTGGCACAGTAGCCAGTTATTTTGGGGGGGAGCATGAAACACATCATATTAGTCTTCTGTTAAAAGGCCTGTAGTGGCTCCATTTTAGCCAAGATCCTTAAAATGGCCTCACTCTGACTTTCTCTCCCCATTCCTCTCTCATTTACTCACCTTGCTCCAGGTGTCCTGGCCTTCTCACCATTTCTAACACTCCCAGGAATGCATTTGCCTCAGGGTCTTTCCACTAGCTGTTCCTTCTGCCCGGGACACTCTTTCCAACAATGGCATCACTCACTCCCTAACCTCTGTCAAATTTTTCATTAAAGTCACTTTATGAATTAGGCTCTCACTGATGGCTCTATTTAAATCCCATTCTGTAAAACTGGAATTGGAATAAGATGCCATAAATCTACCTTTATTTCTCTTCCACTAAATTTTCTTCGCTGCTCCTTTTATTTTGCTCTACATACTCCCCTCTCCACTAAATATTTTCCTTTCTCCCTCCCTTTTGCCCCAGTGCAGGCCTAAGGCCAGTCATCTAGATTAACACATGAGTTTACTTGAAAACGATGAGGCATAACAAAACAAAAAAGTGAGATCTCAGCTGAGGTGAAGCTGGAAAGGGAGTTGGACTTGGAAGACATTGGGTTTGAATCCTAGCTCAATTTTTTAAAAAATATATTTATTTATTTTTAGAGAGAGGGGACAGGAAGGAGAAAGAGAGGGAGAGAAACATCAATGTGTGATTGCCTCTCATGTGTCCCCCACTGGGGACCTGGCCTGCAACCCAGGCATGTGCCCTGACTGGGAATCGCACCAGCAACCCTTTGCTTCACAGGCCCGCGCTCAATCCACTGAGCTACACCAGTCAGGGCAAAGATTACTTACTTATCTTTAGAGGGGAAGGGAAGGAGAGAGGGAGAGAAATATCAATGTATGGTTACCACTCATGTGTCCCCTGCTGGAAACTGGACCCTCCTGGGAACTGGCCTGCAACCCAGGCACGTGCCCTGACTGGGAATCGAACTGCAATCCTGTGGTTCGCAGGCCCACGCTCAATCCACTGAGCTACACCAGGGCCTCTAGCTCAAATTTTTAATTCTTCTGAGCCTCAATGTCATCAGCTGTGAAGATGAGCGTAGGGGTCCGACCTCAGGGACTTGGACAGGCACTGAATGAGAAGACATGTGAAAATACCTGGCACGTGGTCTCCCCTAGTTGGGGATTCCACCAGATAAGAACTTTGGCTTATTCTCTTCTGATGCTCCAGCACCCCACACATGGTTCAAGCTGATGTATTTGTTAAACAAATAAATGTATAATTGATGAACAGACATTAAAAAATGCATCCTGGCTGGTGTGGTTCAGTGGATTTAGTGCTGGCCTGTGAACCAAAGGGTCGCTGGTTCGACTCCCTGTCAGGGGACACGCCTGGGTTGTGGGAGAGGTCCTCAAGGGGCACGTGAGAGGCAACTGCACATTGATGTTTCTCTCCCACTCTTTTGCCCTCCCTTCCCTTCTCTAGAATAAATAAATAAAATCTTTTAAAAAAATCCACCTTCTATCTCCTCCAGTTTTCTTCATATACCTTACCCTGCTTGGTCTATTTTTTCTCATAGCACTGAACACCTATCCTACCAAATAATTTTCTTGTTATGTTTATTATCTTTTTCCCCGTGTTTCAGCACAGCTCCAAGAGGGAAGGTATTCCTCCAACCACTTCTGTTCACTGCCACATCCCAAGCACTACAGTAGTGTCTGACAAGCTTAGTAGTGATTGGTGAATGTTTCTTGGATGAATGAATTAATATTTTTGCCTTCAGGATGTTGCTAGTCTTATATAGAAAGGAATATAGCAGTACTTTGAATCTTCAGGGCCTAGAAATCTTGGTGGATAGCAGGTGTTCAATGTTTGCTGAAGCAGTTGGGTAAATCAGCTAACTACCGAAGACTATGTCAGAAAGGTTCCCGAGGGCTAATTCACTCAGGCCTCTCCTTTTCCTAACATCCAATCAACCTAATACTCATTTAACAAATATCTGAGTATCCAAATATGGAGCACCTACTCTGAGTTCCAGAGTATGCTTGGTGCTAGGTACGTGACTAATGCAAATAAAGCAATAGCAAGTGCGTCTGGACGTAATTAAGTGTGAAATTGTAGGGCAAATTACTAGTGCTAATAATTCAGAGAATCAGTGAAGACTGAGGTAGAAGTAAATTCCAAAGTTCACAAGTTGCCAGCACCACCCTTCTAAACACTTCACCTGTTGAGAGCAAGGACCATAACCTGGCAGCTATTTTGGAATCACAGTTCCACCTCTTCGGTGTTGGAAACTAAGGCTAGGGACGGAAAAGGCCTCTGCAGTGGTGGGCCTGGAACTCCGTACTTGTTAAGTTCTGAAAGGAAGAGTGTCCCGAAGCTTCAAGGTGCCTTTGGAATCCGCGGTGTGCCAAGTTGGAAAAGGGGTCCGATTTCCCAGAGAGGCTAAGGTGCCTGTCGTTATGGTGAGGTGGCGAAAATGAGGATGTGGAAAGGTCACGAGGCGCCATGCCCTGGGTTCATGAGGCCCTTGGAATCCAAGGACAGGATCCAAGGCCGCAGGCCCTTGCTGTCCTTTATTACAGAACCGCCTCGGCCACCTCCACTCCTAGTCGCCGCTCTGCAGAGCCAAACCCCAAGTCGCTCGAAGCTATTAGCCGTTTCACAACATCAGTATGAGCGCACAGCACCTTTGCTTCCAGGGCACTACTTGTCCCAGCGGAGGGATAGCGCGCGCGTCATCGCAGTTACGACCGCGGAGGGGCCGTGACGCTACCGACGCCGGGCCGGTGGCGCAGCAACGTCGCGGGAGGCGGAGGCGGCGGTGGCAGCGGGGATGGGAAGGGGGGAGCGGGTTAGGAAGTAGTTCCGGGTGTGCGGCCCCGGATGTTGGCTGCTCCTGCTGCCGCCGCCGCCGCTTTGGTCGCTGCTTGGGGCCTCAGCTGCTCGCACTAGGCGCCGTTTGGATCTTCCTTGGGGGGCGGAGACGCACGCAGCGGCCGGGGGCTCGGCCGGGCCGCCTCGGCCTGCGCAGCCTGAGGTGAGCGCCCGCCGCCGCCGAGGCAGCCGGCCCAGGGCGGCGATCGAGGAGGCGGGGCTGGGGCATCTCTCGGGACAGAGGCAGAAGCTGCCCTCCGCGAGACGTCCTCTTCCTTCTCTCAGCAGGGGCCGCGCCGCGGGGTGGGTGGCGGGAGGAGCTGGGTGCCTGGGTCGGAGCTGGGGCCTTGGAGGTCGGTGAGGGCTGGGTCCCTCCCTCCCCCGCGGCCCTTCTCAGCTGCTGCTGCCCCTCAGCCGGGAAGCGGCTCTGAGCCTCCGCGTCTCCCGCCCCTCCCCCAGGCGGGGCTTCGGGGAGCCAAATGGGGTTCCCAGGGGTGCGGAGTAGGACGACAGCGGCCGTCTCCGTCCCTCCGGGACCTGCCCCTGGCCCGGGCCAGCCCCCTACCCCGACACGATGTAGCTTCTTCCCTTCAAGCTTGGGGGTGCTTTTCTGCAGGCGAGGCGGGCAGTACCTCCTGCCTCGGGGGTGCCCTTTGGGGTGAGGTGGCCCTTGCGAGGGGCCTGTGTTCCCACCCATCCTGTCGCCGTGTCCTTTGCCCGCCTTAGGACCGAGGCAGTCGTTCCATGCGGACGTGTTGCTGTCCTATGTGTGTTGCATCCTGCCCACGTGGTAGGGTGTTCCTCCCCCCTCCATTTTTGCAGCTGGTGAGGAGGGAGGTTAACGGGGTGGTTTTTCCTCTGTGATTTCCTCCTGGCGGAGTGGAAGGTGTTAGGGTCAGTCTTCTTTGCTGAGGCCTACTGTTGGTTAGGTGGAAGAAGTAGGAGTTGTATACTCTGAAATTGAGATCAGCAGGGGACAACAGGGCTTAGTTTCATTGACATCTTTTTTCCTCTCCCTTTTGATTGCTCTTGTTCTTTTCTCTACTGCTTAATCCTAAAGGGAGAATAGCTGTAGCTGCTGGTGCCTGGAAGTTTTCACTTCACTCGACTTTTTGTGTGTGTGGTTGGAGAAGGATTTTCATTGCAGTGTTGTGCAGTCTACGTCTCTGTTTCTAGTTGGACTCCTGAATGAGCTGAGTTGGGTTGGCCAGGGAGTTAGTGGGCATCTTTTTTTGTCTTTTCCTTACATTTACTTAGTTTTTCCTTTCACTTTGTTTCCCAGTGAGACAAGTGAGCATGTCAGTTATGTCAGTTATGAAGTGTTACGTGCGCAGCACTTCACTGGTAGTTTCACTGAGTCACTTGGTTTTTAGGAGCTCTTTCAGTTAACTTTTCCTCTGTTGAATATCATTACGCTCTGTTTTTAGAAACTGGTTTTAAAACGTGTTTCGAGTAGTTTCTTTCCTTAATGTCTCCTCTAGGTTTCTAGGTCTCTTCCAGGAGGTTAAGGTTTCTATTTTCCAGTGTTTTGCTCTTTTATGACCATACATTGCCCCCTTAACAGGGAACAACAGGCCACAGTAGCGGTGAGAGGAGCCTTTTATTCCATCCAGGCCTTAGCAGATATTTATAGAGAAGTAGTGACTCCTTTCCATTTTTATGTTTGGGTGGCATATATAGATGTAATTGCAAATATTTTTTAAGAGAAACCTGAGGATTCCTGTTGGTTTTTTTTGTGTGTGTGTCTTGGTTTTGTGCTGCTGAAGAAACTGGGGACTTTGTCATGCCTTTATTAGGTGTTTTTTGGATGGGATCAGGACATGTTTATTTTGGCTTATTTTGGTTCATTAGTTTGGATGAACTTAATATTTCGAAGTCACTTTTTAGATTCCAAAAAGGCCAGCATTTTTGCATTTTCTTGGTTTGAGAATGCAGTGTGCATTCTCATTAAGTGTATATATATTTCTTTTAATCTGGTGGTTGTTAGTATAGTCTTCCATGAAAGTAAAAGTATTTAAATACAGATTCGATCTGCTTTCATCATGCTAAGTATGGGTGGGGCAGTAGAAAATAGAGAATGTTGTGGTATATTTTGAGGCATATTTTTTTTATTAAGTCAGTCAGCATTCGTGTGCATCTGCAAAATACTGTGATATGTGTGAAGTAGTCTGTATGAAGGAGACACAAGAGATAAAATACACGGTCTCTTCAAATGCTTCAACTTCTGTTGGGGAAATAACACATAATGTCCTTCATTCATAATTAGCAAGCAACATCAACTTTGGGCTAACAGTGCAACCAGAGTCAAAGGTATAAATGAGATTTGAAAAGGATAGAAATTTTCAAAGGGGCACAGATGTATTCCAGGAGAATGAACCAGTATTTGCAATGATGGAGAAGTGGCCACATACAAAGATGTCAAGCATTTTGGCACGGAGAATGTGTAGTGGGTATTGGCGGAGGACCTATCAAGGATATAGGATTTAGTGTAATGGGGTACTGCAGTGGGTTCTAAAGAATAAGTGTAAGATGATGCATATTGTTTCTGAGGAGGGTTTTTGTGTTAGCTGAGTGTCCTGGAGTGGGGAGACTGAATGCTATTAGAGAATTCTAGGAATAAGATGATGAGAGTCTAACATAAGATAATGATCATGGGTATAAAATAATAACTAATATATATTGAGTATTTACAGAATGCCAGACATTGTTCTGAGTTCTTATGTGTATTTAACTCATTAAATCTTCATAATATGCTCTTATTATTATGGGTTACAGAGAGATTAAGTGATTTGACCAAACTCAGAGTGAGTGGCAGAGCCAGTCAGAATTTGAACCCAGGCAGCAGAGCCAGTCAAGATTTGAACCCAGACAGTCTGGTTTGAGCTTATGCCTTTAGTTATAAATTATATTGTCCTAAGAGAAGTGTATAGAGAGATATGTCCAAAGAGATGTGTGTATATGTGAGTAAAAATTAACTTGAACTCAGTGATGATTGAATGTGGGCAAAGGAAAGAGCAAATAACATATTAAAAGATGAGAGCCTAGAATCCAGGAAGGATGGTTGATACAGTGAAGAAACTAGGAAAGTGTCAGTGTGAAGGAGAAGGAGCTGTGGTTGGTTATGGGCTACTCTAGGTTGTGCTCAATGTTTCAGTAGCAGGCTCCTGCCACTCCTGATAGTCTCCCCTTGCCGGTTTGGCTGTGGAAGTGCAGACTTAGTTTAGTATTATTTTAAGCAAAACAATTAAAACAACACGTATTCAGAAGAAAAAATGTATACCACATTGCAGAGTCACAGGAAATAGCATAGGAATTACTTGTTTTGGTCGAGCCAACCCACTGCTCTCCAGCCATAGTGAAGGTGATCAAGAACTGACTTGAGTAGAAGTATGGGTACTGCTCTGCTATGGGGTGAACAGAGATGCAGTGTAGATTGTGCACTGATCGGGGCTATAGATAGTGGTAAAAAACATGTGAGTGTTGGGAAGACAGTAATATGATGGTGAAATAGTTTTGAAGTTGGGAACTTTGGGAGACATTATAGGCACATAGGTAAAGCATTCTGAGAAGAGCCAAGGCATAGGGTCCAAGGCCACAGGCCCTCTCTGTCCTCAGTTACAGAGCCACCTTGGACACCTCCACTCCTCAGTCACTGCTCTGAGCGACCAAACCCCAAGTTGCCCTGAGCTGCTGGCCGTTTGAGAATGCTACAGAAGCCAAGGTTGGGAAAGGTAGTGTGGTTGACAGTAGCGAATACAGTCTCAAAGTTAAGAAAGTGATCGTGATGAAAATTGAACTGAGACCAGGAGGTAGTTTGTAACCTTAGAATTTTGAAAGGAAGGATAAGAATAGGTGCCAGATTTGTTTCCCATTATGATCTGGTATGGTAGTTTGGAGAATTTCCCCCTACTGCTCCCTCCAGTCTCTCATTCTTGTCCACGTATCAGAGCTAATCAAATATCGGAAAACTTTTTTTCCTTCAGAAAAGAAAACTTGTGGTTTGTATGCTTTAACAGTTCTCTCAAACATTTTTTAAAAGTTTTATTGAGATGTAATTCACATAGTATGCAGTTTGCCCATTTAGAGTATGCAATTCAGTGGTTTTTAGTATAATTACCAAGTTGTGCATCCATCTCCAAATCATCTTCAGATACTTCATTGTCCCCAAAAAGAGTGTTTGTACCCAATAGCAGTCACTCCTTATTTCCCCCCTCCCCCTGGATTCTAGGTACCCACTAATGTACTTATCATCTTTATACCAACTCCTGTACATCTCTAAACAGGAATTACTGTTTACTTTCTCTACTCTCTACCCCAAAACTCTATAGTTTTGCCCATTCCATTCCATTCTGGAATGGGCATTGTATATAAATGGATCATACAATATATGGTCTTGTGTCTGTCTTCTTTCACATAGCACGTTTCAAGGGTTATCCATTTTGTAGTATATATGTATATAAATACTGTACCTTATTTTTGTTGGTGAATAATATTCTAGTGTATGGTTATACCACCTTTTATTTATTCATTTATCCCTTGATGGGCCTTTGGGTTTTTTACTTTTTCAGAGCCCTTCCCTATCTTTATCTTACTCTCCATCCTACCCACTCCACTCATCCCATGGCTTTTCTTTTAGATCCTAACCTCTGCTATGCATTCTGTTAGGTATTGGGGATACAAAGATGAGTAAGACATGGCCCTTGAACATTTATATAGTGCGTTTATGGTTTACATATTTTGTATTGATCTCATTTGATCCACAGCCAGCCCTGCTGTAGGCAGAGCATTTTTTAAGATGAGCAATTTGAAGTTTAGGTTTGCTGACTTGCCCAAGATTGCACACTTAAGTCCTTGATGGAGCAGTTAGATCATCTTAGTCCATGTCCATTGCTATTTCCAATACTCTGTGCTATTAAAACTTGAAGGATCCCCATGTGAATTCCTGGAGAATTAGAGGGGCTGGGAAATTCTCTTAGGGAATCAGTAATTTTTAATGTTTAATCTTCAGGACTTAAAATAAAGAGATTTTTTTTTAACCTGATTCTATCACTTGTTTGCTCTGTGATTTAGATAAATTATTTAATATTTCTGCCTCCCCCCCCCCAGAAATTTAGTGAGGATTAATGTGATAATGATAATGGTAGTGATAATAATAACGGGTAA